AGCTAGGAAGTCTATTACAAGCTTCATGCCAGCCATTGGAGGCAATACAGCCCATGAGGAGAGCGCTGTGTACATCATGGGATGCTGACGCATAAAGGATATGAAGAGGGGAGATGATAGAGGTGGGAATAGAGAGAGGAGAGGATAGAAAAGGTGGTGAGAGGAGGGGTGAGAAGAGGAGATAGAGAGGAGGGCAGAGAGTTGAAAGGTAAGAGAGGTGGTAGAAGAGGGTCAAGAGAGGTAATTTTTCAGCCCAAGAGCAACCAAGTCTATATCCAGAACAACATTGATAAAACATTTTTACTCCTCACCCTTCACATTTCCACCAATGAAGAAGTCAGGTGACTTCATCCTTCTGGGGACCCCTCTAGTGATAATAAAGATCTATATAGGGGAATCAGGACCTCCTTCCTCCTGCTGGGGCCCCCTCTAGTGATAATAAAGATCTATATAGGGGAATCAGGACCTCCTTCCTCCTGCTGGGGCCCCCTCTAGTGATAATAAAGATCTATATAGGGGAATCAGGACCTCCTTCCTCCTGCTGGGGCCCCCTCTAGTGATAATAAAGATCTATATAGGGGAATCAGGACCTCCTTCCTCCTGCTGGGGCCCCCTCTAGTGATAATAAAGATCTATATAGGGGAATCAGGACCTCCTTCCTCCTGCTGGGGCCCCCTCTAGTGATAATAAAGATCTATATAGGGGAATCAGGACCTCCTTCCTCCTGCTGGGGCCCCCTCTAGTGATAATAAAGATCTATATAGGGGAATCAGGACCTCCTTCCTCCTGCTGGGGCCCCCTCTAGTGATAATAAAGATCTATATAGGGGAATCAGGACCTCCTTCCTCCTGCTGGGGCCCCCTCTAGTGATAATAAAGATCTATATAGGGGAATCAGGACCTCCTTCCTCCTGCTGGGGCCCCCTCTAGTGATAATAAAGATCTATATAGGGGAATCAGGACCTCCTTCCTCCTGCTGGGGCCCCCTCTAGTGATAATAAAGATCTATATAGGGGAATCAGGACCTCCTTCCTCCTGCTGGGGCCCCCTCTAGTGATAATAAAGATCTATATAGGGGAATCAGGACCTCCTTCCTCCTGCTGGGGCCCCCTCTAGTGATAATAAAGATCTATATAGGGGAATCAGGACCTCCTTCCTCCTGCTGGGGCCCCCTCTAGTGATAATAAAGATCTATATAGGGGAATCAGGACCTCCTTCCTCCTGCTGGGGCCCCCTCTAGTGATAATAAAGATCTATATAGGGGAATCAGGACCTCCTTCCTCCTGCTGGGGCCCCCTCTAGTGATAATAAAGATCTATATAGGGGAATCAGGACCTCCTTCCTCCTGCTGGGGCCCCCTCTAGTGATAATAAAGATCTATATAGGGGAATCAGGACCTCCTTCCTCCTGCTGGGGCCCCCTCTAGTGATAATAAAGATCTATATAGGGGAATCAGGACCTCCTTCCTCCTGCTGGGGCCCCCTCTAGTGATAATAAAGATCTATATAGGGGAATCAGGACCTCCTTCCTCCTGCTGGGGCCCCCTCTAGTGATAATAAAGATCTATATAGGGGAATCAGGACCTCCTTCCTCCTGCTGGGGCCCCCTCTAGTGATAATAAAGATCTATATAGGGGAATCAGGACCTCCTTCCTCCTGCTGGGGCCCCCTCTAGTGATAATAAAGATCTATATAGGGGAATCAGGACCTCCTTCCTCCTGCTGGGGCCCCCTCTAGTGATAATAAAGATCTATATAGGGGAATCAGGACCTCCTTCCTCCTGCTGGGGCCCCCTCTAGTGATAATAAAGATCTATATAGGGGAATCAGGACCTCCTTCCTCCTGCTGGGGCCCCCTCTAGTGATAATAAAGATCTATATAGGGGAATCAGGACCTCCTTCCTCCTGCTGGGGCCCCCTCTAGTGATAATAAAGATCTATATAGAGGGATCAGGACCTCCGTCCTCCTGCTGGGGATCCCTCTAGTGATGCTCCCCAGAATTCTATCCTGTCCCCACTGGCAGGTCACACTCCTCAACACCCCCAAATCTATGTCCTCGGGTGTTCTGGCCAACACTGTACCCCCAATATTGTACTCCTTCTTATTCCCCGAGTTCATTATTTTGACCTGCAGTCTCAGCCGTGGCCGATCTTCCGGGAAGGTCAGTCATGTTCCATGTTTCCAGGAACGTGTCAGATTTTTATACATTGTATCGTTTTACTTTCTATTTGTTACATTTGTAAATAAATAAAACACAAAGAAATCGCGCAGCCGCCCCCAACGCGACTCCCCCACCGAAACACAAAGAGAGGCCTCGCGTACGGAGAACGCCAAGGCCCGCCATTACGCGGAGAGTCCTGTCAAGACCCGCGCCAACAAACCCAACTTTAATTTCTGCCTTTTCACATCGCTGACGCGGCGGGACAAAGAGCTCCCGTCACCGAGGCCGCGGAGCCGCCTTGCCGTCAAGACGCGCGGCGCAATTACAACACAATGAGAGCCGTTTATTTCTGGCCCGCGCTCCGGTTTCCTGCGTCTGATGGAGCGCTGACAGAGATTGAGCGATCGCCTGACGGAAAGCGCCGCCAGCCTCACACAAAGCGGGTTGAGTGACGTCTCCGGCGGGGCCGACAATCAGCCCCTGAAGTCTCCCTTTCTCCGAGGATCGCAGACTGTGATTACCCCCCCAATAGCGGGGGTGGTCAACATCGCGGGGCATTGTACGAGTAGCGCTCGGCGTTCCCTGTGTAGGACGGCCAGTGTTATAGAAAGTACACAGAGCCGTCAAATCAAATTGGACCCATTGTCGCAGCATGCCAAGTAATGTGTCACTGTGACACTTCCGGGGTATTTAGTACTCCCCCTAACAATGCCTTCATCGGCTATTCCCTCCAGACGGATGAAGCCATATTTGTTGAACCATCATGCGGGGTCACCGTCTACTTCCTGGAGACACCAGCACAGAGATGACACAGTCAGGTAAATCCCAGAGCCTGTGCCGTTCCTGGCTGTGTTCACAAAATGACTGACAGTTCAGCCCCTGATGCAACCTCTCGCCTTGTGACTGGATACAAAGTTTCATTGTTGCACAATGTTCACTGGGGGAGGGGAGACTGGGGAAATGCTTCCACCTGTCTGCAGCAGACTGATCACTGGGGGAGGGGAGGCTGAGGAAATGCCCCAGACATGGGGGACCTCCAATGTCTACATTCATTTCTTCACCTCAAGGCAGACATGACTCTGTTGCAGCCTCTTTGCAGCAAATGTGTGAGAGTGCTGCATGGGGTGTGTAGCAGAAAACGCATCAGCCCCCCTGTGCATGCCATGGCAGATCATAGGAAGATTGCCACGGCCCATCCGATACACACCCCGGACCGCCAGTGGTCTGCACCAATTCCCAGCACAAGGCCCAGCATGCAAACAGAGGACAGTTTACTGCAGTCAGTTAAAGCAACAGCTGATGGGTTGCTATTGGATACCGCACTGCGCCTTCCAGAACATAAAGCGGGCCTCCACCCACCAGCCGCCCCGGCGGCGTTGTCCTTCTCTTTAGCAGTCGGTGAACTTGGCGTGGGTACGATCCGTAATATTTTGCCGTGTTTTTTTTTTGCAGGTTACCATGACGACTGCCTCCGACACGCTTCGCAAAAGGGGCCGGCGGCCATTGTTAAATCTTCCAGCGAGGCCAATTTTCGGCACCGCGCATCGGATACGAAAGGGCGATGGCGGCCTCATTTCTACAGGATTGTAAAGCGCGGAGAAGTTGTTTGTACGTCGGAAACTCCCGGCACGATCCGCGCTGCAGCTTAAAGCCGAAGAACAAAACCTCCCCCCCCCCAAACCCCCCTAATGAGCCCGCCGCCAACCCCCGC